CCCCCGTGCCCTCCCCGGTGCCCCCGGTGTCCCCATTGCCCTCTGACCTGTGCCAGTGGCGCTGCCCGAGGCCTTGAGCATCTGGGAGGCCATGAAGTTGACCTGGGTGTTGTAGGTGGCCTGGACGCTGCGCTTGATCCGCAGCATCTCCCGGATCGTGTCCTCGTTGCCGTGACGGATCTCAAACTCCTTCCACGTCTGCCAGAAGCTGCCCGTGATCTGGGGAGGGGCACCGTGGGTCAGGGGGGGCTGTGGCACCCCGAGGACACCCGGGGGGGATGAGGACACCCCCGGGGATGCCCCTGGCACCTTGGGGACACCCCCGGGGGGATGGGGACACCCTCGGGGACGCCCCTGGCACCTTGGGGACACCCCCGGGGATGCCCCTGGCACCTTGGGGACACCCCAGCGCGAGAGCAGCCCAGAGCAACCGTGGGACACCCCTGGCACCCTGAGGACACCCACAGGGTCGGTGGAGACACCTTTGGGGACATTCCCAACATAGATGGGGGGTCGGGGGGGCCTGGGGACACCCCCGACACCCTGGGGACACCCAGGGGGGGCTGGGGACAGCCTGGGGACAGCCCTGGGGACACCCCAGCACAGGGGCACCCCAGAGCAAGCACGTGACAGCCCTGAGACCCCGGGGACACCCCCATGACCCCAGGGACACCCTGGCACAGGTGGGGGGGTCAGGGGACACCCCCGGCCCTGGGGACACCCTTGGGGACAAGGGCACCCCACAGCACCCACGCGGCCCCGGGGACACCCCTGGCCTGGGGACACCCTGGCATGTGACACTCGGGTGTCCCTGGGGACACTCCTGACCCCTGGCACACACTATTTGGTGCCCCCCAGCCCCGTGCCCCCTCACCGGGGGTGCAGATCCAGGAGCAGTAGGTGTAGATGCTCCTGCATGATCCCTGTGCCCACCGTGCCCCCCCACATGCCCCCCTCATGCCCCCTCACCCGGGGGTCGCAGATCTGGGAGCAGTAGGTGTAGATGTGACCCTGTGCCCCCCCTGTGCCCCCCCATGCCCCCTTACGTGGGGGTCACAAATCTGAGAGCAGTAGGTGTAGATGTGACCCCTGTGCCCCCCCCGTGCCCCCCTGTGCCCCTCACCCGGGAGCCACAGATCTGGGAGCAGTAGGTGTAGATGCGACCCCTGTGCCCCCCCCAGGTGCCCCCCTGTGCCCCCTCACCCG